TAAGTTTACATGATTAAGTGTAGTAGTTTTTGGATGAAAGTTATTAGATGTGGTGAAGTGCTTCGGAGGAGAAATCAGGAGGTTGATGAGGAAGTCCTTTTGGTCTCTCACCACATTTTGCTTCTCATCATCATCGATAGTGCTCTGCTCCAATTTCTTCCTTTACTACTGGTGACTCATTGTCATCGTCCTTGATTACACCTTTCATTTCCCTTGGGCATAGGATTCACCCCTTTTACCACTCATCTTGCTGTCAATGCCAATATAATATAGAGTATATATACATATATATACAAACTCACTCCTCTTTTGTTATTAGATAGTTTAACTATCAATGGGCTAGAATTTCGCTAGATGACACGAATAATGTGAACAACTATGATTTGGTGCGAGGTAATGGTTTATGGGCTGTTTATGGATTAAAAAAGAAACACTTCAACACTTAGTGGAGGTGTGACGATATTGTCAGAGTAATAAACTACATTCAAAGTCAGGAATTCTTTTAATTACTTTTAAAAACTTGAATAATTCCAAAACTCTAAAATATGTGAACTTAGGGAATGGAATGAATGTCAAAAAAATAAATAAATAAAATATTAGGCAAAAAATCAGCTTATAGTTGGTAATTAGTGTGATAACCAAAGATGTTCTTTTGACCTCTACAAAGATGTCGTCTTCTCTTTGCCCAATCCCAACCCTAGTCCATTCCTCAAAATCAAGTTAATCAGCCCACTTTGTGGAATCCAGTTAGCTTCTACCCCTTCTGTGAGTTTCGGGCTTTGAATTGGGCACTCCATGTAGCTACCCAGGTTCTCAATTTTATTTCATGGGTTGAGGGTCACGGCCCGTCAAGACAGAAAATTGAGTGTTAAAGTTATCCGTGATATTAAAAAAGAAAAATAAAATAAAAGGATGTTGACATGTTTTTCCATTCCCACTAAAGAAATACTCCATTTTAATAACGGTTTTTCTTTAAAAAAACCATTATCCTTGTTTTACTAATATAAAGTACTGGATGTTTAAGTTCACACATGTTTCTTACTTTAGTTTTTTTGAATGTGAAATAGCACCTCCCTTATTTCTATAATTTACAAATACCCACTCATCTAGTGTCGATCCCCACGTTTCAAAGACAATCGATCACACAAGATTGTGATGGATTAAAAGGTGGTGTTTACTACTTGTTACTAACCAGTGGTATAAACAAACTCTAAATTTGCTTTGATAATAAAAATATAATTTTTTTTTAAAAAAAAATAAAAAATGATTGACCATTGATTGGGGTATTATTTAATAAATTTTGCACCATCCAAGCATGAGAAAATATATAATACTTTATTTTGTTGTGTTTAGAAACACTGAATTCGTATCTTAAATTTAGGATTAGAAAAAATTTAATTCAAATTTCAAATATAACAAAATGATATTTTACACATTATGATACTTGCACCAATTTATTACAGTGAATCACTTAACCTAACTGAATATTTCTTTTGCAAGGGCTGCAATCAAACATTAAAGAGCCTAAGAGGTTTTTAACAATAATTTATGCAAGTTCACAGTATCTGGATGATGTAAAGATCCCTTAAAATAAGGGTTTGACTTAAACCAATGCTAAACATGTCGTGTACAAGTATACATCTGTATGGCTCATTAGTGATCATGACAGCCCAATTGCAGTGGTCAAAATTGAATTAAAACGATTTTTAGGGGAGAAATTATTTTATGGACCAAGTCCATATACCTCACTTGGCTGAGTTGGTGGACTATACCAATTGGACCAATTAATTATAGACTGTAATTAAAAATTATTTTTATATTCAATTTGTCACGTCACTTTTGCAAGGTCTCTCTCTCTCTTCTTTCAGCCTCCCCAATCGCCTCCATCTCTATTTTCGTTCTCAGATCTGAACTCCCCCCCCTCTCTCTCTGCAACTGCAAACTACAAAATCAACAAGAATCAGAAGTTCAAAAACCATATATTTCAGTCTATCTATCTGTCTGCAAGAATCAGAAGTTGAAAACCGGCATATCATTTTAGATTGTTCAAAAAATCAAAACCCATATCTTTCAGTTTCCATCGCCCGCTGTTCCTTCCAATCAGTTTCCATTTCTTGCCCTCTTTCTCTTTCTGCAACTGCAAATTACAAAATCTACAAGAATCAGAAATTCAAAACCCAATAGTCTCTCTCCTCTTTCTTTCTCTAAAACGATGGTGAGTTAAGAGGGTCTGAATCCCCAGTTGTGGCCACTGATTCTTGTGTATGCTCCAAACAAGATCTGGAACAGCGGGCGATGGAAATTGAAAGATATGGGTTTTGATTTTTTGAACAATCTGAAATGATATGCCGATATGGGTTTTCAACTTCTGATTCTTGCAGACAGACAGATAAACTGAAGTATATGGGTTTTGAACTTCTGATTCTTGTAGCTTTTGTAGTTTGTAGTTGCAGATAGAGAGAGAGGGGGGCAAGTTCAGAGTTGAGAACGAGAATAATAGATGGAGCCCCATTGGAAAGGCTCAAAGAGGAGAGAGATGTTGCTGATGTGGCAAATTGAATATAAAAATAATTTTTTATTACATGTGTTTACAATTAATTGGTGTAGTCCACCCACTCAGCCAAGTGAGGTGTATGGACTTGGTCCATACAATAATTTCTCTTTATAGGGACCACTTTATAAGCCTGACTTGATTAACCTACTAATGGCAAAAGTTTATAACGATAATTCTTTCTTCGGAAATTTCATTAAAAAATAATGTGAGTGACTAATGTAAAAACTTTACATCGATAACATAAAAAATAATTTGGTTGATTTTTTTTTTTTATTTATTAAAATTTTAAACAAATTTATATATGTATAATGAATAATTACAAAAGTGGATCATTTGACCAAATACAACCCAAAAATAATCTGGGTTGGTGAGAAGTTGCATCAATTTAATTGATTTGCACATAATGCAATATCAATTTTTTCCACAAAATAAATAATTGGTAAGAAATTTCTTAATTTGGAAAAGTACTCGATATTCAGGAATAACAACCATATATCGATTATGACTAGTAAAAAATAATTATTTATTTAATTTTTGAATGGTTGAGGAGCTCTTGTTGCCGTAGCAACTTCTTGGTTTTCTTAGCACAATGGTATAGTGTGCACGGCACGCTCTCTCATTCTCATTCAATGAGTGGCCCTGAGGCCCTTTCATGCTGGACCCACACTTTAATAATCATAGAACTATCGATTAAAATTTCTGACAAACGTGTGTAAGTAGGATCTGTTGTGATTCTTAGTACATAAATTACATCACTACCACTTACAAAGCTTGGGGATGCTTAAATTGCCCTCAATTTTCCTTCTCTCAAATTGGAATCAATTTCTTCTATCTTAAAAATATGTTGGTAGGACTTCTCGCCTTTTTACCGTTCTAGTTTATGTTGATTAGATTTTTGAAAAAGGTTTTTAATAGTTGTGTTTTTGTGTGTGTGTGTGTGTGTGTTTTTTTTTTCTTTTTTCAGGACAAGAAATCCATTTCATATTTGAAATTAGATGGATTTGAATTCTTACCTTTTATATCACTCTAGAGATAGAAAAGTTATTACTTAAATTAGAGTCCATGATAATTTAATCAAAGACAGATCTTATCTATTCATCTATGAGTACTTAGATATTTTATACTGTCTACTAATATGATCCAATTATAAATATACACATATTCTTTAATTATAAAATTTAGAAAGTAATAAATAAGAAAAATGAACCCAATGGACCAACTTCCATTTCTTTTTCTTTTTAACTTTTTTAATTAATATCTAAAATTTGATGTGTCAATATAAGATTGGACCACATATTCTTTAATTAAAAAATTTAGAAAGTAATAAATAAGAAAAATGAACCCAATGGACCAACTTCCATTTCTTTTTCTTTTTAACTTTTTTAATTAATATCTAAAATTTGATGTGTCAATATAAGATTGGACCATTACAGGAGAACTCACGGTTAAGTATCGTACAATCAATATTATTTATTACAATAATTTGATAAGTGAATATGTATATCTAGTTGGAATAATGAGTTTGTTTCCTTAATTTCCCTATCTTTTACAAAATTTTCAAAGAAGTCTGGTCTGAATTAAATTGGACAATGTTTCCTTTGGAAAAAATAAATAAATAAATTGACGATGAACTAGAAAAAGAAAAAGAAAAAAAAAGGCTCTCTTTAGGGGGAAAGAAAATGTATTGTTATCATTTTCGAGCAAAATGTTAATGATTTCATAGCTAAAATTAAAGATAATAAATTCCATTTTTTTAGAATGACAACTTGCAACATTTCTACATGAAAAAAAAGGAAAAAACAGTTGTTTCTAGAACCTAGAATCACCTTCCTCCTCTTTTGATAAAATTGGACAATGTTCTCTTTAAAATGTTCACGACTTTATTATTTAATTTTCGTCCACCTAAAAAAAAAAAAACATTTTGAATTCAATACATTATTACGGATGTCAAAGGAAAAAACAAGTGGCTTACCTACATTTCCATACACCATGGGTTTACTAAACATATTCCCGTATTCTTCCAGCTCAAGTCAGCCCCCACCTCCTCCAATTGGACAATGTTCTCTTTATAAAAAATATGTTCAAGACTTTATTATTTAATTTTAATTTTATTTAAGTAAAATTTAATGAATTTCTTACCTATTAAAAAATTATAAAGATGAAAATTAATACTATGTATAAAAGAAAATAAAGTGAATAAAAGAAAAATAAATTTAAATCGTTTATTTGATTAGTATAAAATTATAAAAATCACAATTTTATAATTTGATGAGTATCATCACGCTTATCATTAGAAAGAAAGAAAAAAAAAGAAAAAAAATATTATTATAGGTTTTCAAGAAATCAAGCATTTTTTTTTCTTAAATAAAAAATTGGTATGGGAAAGTTAGGTGCTAACCAAACTTCCAAATGTTGAGCTCAATAAATTACAGATGTCAAAGGAAGAAAGTGGTTCACCTTGATTTCCATACACCATGGGTTCACTAAAGCTAGCCCTTTGTTCTTTCTGCCCAAGTCAGCCTCGACCTCCCATTCGACTGTCTACAGATATAAAGGCTATGCGCATTACGCATTCCAAACGTTCTCTGATCTCTCTGAAACACCTTTATCTCTCCCCACTCGGTTTCTTCCACTCTCCCACAATCACTAACAACCCTCACCCTCTGCGAACCCTACCTTTTGCCATGGCCGAAGCTGCCGAGAACTTCTCTACCGATTCTGCCGTCGTTGACGACGACGTCAAGTTCGGGTTCAAGCGCCCGGAGATGTACAAGGCCAACCTTGCCGGCACCATCGATCCCCCGTACGACCGTCACGTGTTCCTCTGCTACGGTAGTTACGAGTCTTGGCCTTCTCGTGTCGAAGCCTCCGACTCCGATCTGCTTCCCAAGCTCCTCTCTGAAGCTCTCAAAGCTCGCAAGAACGACATCAGCGTGAAGGTTAGTATCCTAAACTCAGAGCTCCGGTTAATCGATTAGAATTTCTGATTCTGTTATGAGCTGTCTCCAGATCGATCAATATGAGACACAATTATCTGTATATATACATATATATGTATGTACGGAGAAAGAAAGACGTCATATTGAGAAAATTGTTTCTTTAACATTTTTGTTCGTGGATGTTTGGATCTGATGAGTTTTGCCTTGGTGATCAATTTGGCAGACTCGTTTGACGATATGTGAGGGACGTGAAGGGACCGACTTATCCGATGGAGATGTTTTGATTTTCCCGGAAATGATCAAATACAAGTAAATTTCGTTCATTAGCTAGGGTTTTACTCTTATTATTTCCATATCGAGTCTCTGTTTCCTGTTTTCACAAAGTCAATTATAGTTAGTTTACCTACCAAAAAAATTAGTACTACAGCGCTAAGTTTGGCTTCTGAACTCCTGAAATTTTAAAGTCAAGTATTAGTTAGGGTTTTGCTTCATGATTTTTGTTTTTTTCTTCCCATTAATCTTGTGATTGTTCTAATTACAAGTAAATTATGAGAATCAATTAGGGTTTTATTTCATTTGTTCTCGTTTTTTCCTTCTTTTTTGAGTCAAATATATTGTTTGTTTTCGTGGTTGAAGGGGTTTGAAGGACTCAGATGTGGATAGTTTTGTTGAGGATGTGCTTGTGAATGGCAAATCATGGGCTTCTGGAGTGCAGGAGGTGTTGACTGGTTCACATATATTTGTTTGTGCCCATAATAAGCGAGATAGAAGGTGTGGCGTATGTGGACCAGCTCTGATTGAAAAGCTCAATGAAGAGATTGGTTTAAGGAATTCGAAGGATCAGATGTTTGTGAGTGCTTGCTCACACATTGGGGGCCACAAATATGCTGGGAACTTGATAATTTTCAGTGCGGATCCGGAGGGAAAAATTGCTGGTCACTGGTAAGTCAGTATGTTATTGTTATTTCTTTACTGTTTCTTTGAATATTAAAGGGAAAATGATTCAGTCGATGATGTTAAAACTAAGAGCTTTTGTTTTACAGGTATGGTTATGTCACTCCTGATGATGTTCCTGAATTGCTTGATCAGCATATTGGAAAGGGAGAAATCATTGATCGTCTTTGGAGGTTTGTGTTTCTTTGTTCTTTGTTTTCTATTACATGAATTGTTTATTCGAAGATACCATTGACACCTCTATTAACAATGAAATAATAATAAAAGGAGACACCAGATGACACATGGACACATGGATAAGATCATTGCTGGCTTTGTTTGGGTTGAACATTTCCTTTATGAAGCTAGTTTCATCAATAATTGGATTCCGATGTCAGAATTTCACTGGCAAATGTTTTCCGATATGTATTTAAGAATTGCAACTTATTTGCAGTTGAATTTAGCGGTCGTATTGTTAAATGGTGTTTTTGTCGCCAAATTGTGATTCTTTTTATTGGGAGCTAGTCCTATCATTATTATCTGCTTCAGTTACTTAACATAGTGGTCTACCTGTGTCTTGAATAGCTACTTATCAAGATTTATGTGCAATAGAACTGCATACTGGGACGTAACTACTTTATTTTGTTTTATGCAGCATTCAAATTTAGAAATTATGTATTGTTTCTCAAAGCATTAGAAAATGAGTCAACTTGTACTCATATTATGGTTATTTGTGTGTGGCTGCACATGGAGGATTGAGTGTTCTTGTGCACGTGTGTAACTAACCCAATTTGTTTTCCGGTCTGTTCCAAGTAAAAATTTTTACCTTGTGATTATGATAATATAATAGAATTTGTTTCAACTCTATTCTCAAATAATTAAATACATTATACTCCGCAGCTTCTACTATTTCATTGCATGTGGCTGTGATTCAAACTACATAAATTTAGTCAACACTTTGATAACTTGCTTCCAGTGTAATTAGTTACAAAGTCACCCTGCTGGATGATGGTGATGTTTTTCAATTGTTCTTAAAAGGCTAAATTAGTTTTTAAATTTTCCTCATAATAATTGGTCTTAATAAGAGGGGTACAAGTTTTTTTTTCTTCTGCCCAGATACAATTGGATGGTAACATTCTTTTCGTTTGTTCAGCGTTCTTTCAAACAACATAGGAAGCTATACTTAACCATAATCAATTTCAGGGGTCAAATGGGCGTATATGTTGAGAAAGCTGAAAAAGATGAAGCAAAGAAGCTGCCAAATGGAAAAGAGCGCAAACAAAAGATAAAAGAGCCACAAGAAACCAATGGTCTGGACAAGAAGGAAAATTTGGCAAGCTGTTGCCAGGGTGCTAATGGGTTTTCATGCTGCAGAGATGAAAGTAAGGATGAAGTGACCATAGAAATGCAAGGGAAGAAGGGGCTGGGCGGACTGTCTACCTGGATGGGGAAGTGGGAGCAAAGTGAGGTTCTTACAGCCGCTGCTTTGGTTGGAGCAGTGGCAACTGTTGCTGTGGTTTATAGCCTTTATAGAAGGTCTGCGTGAAATGGGCTCTGTAACCACACGAGTTTGTTTGCATTTCACATGTACACCCCTGTTTTGTAGAGAGGCGAAGTAACATGAATTAAATAATTGTCAAAACCATGCACTTCATTAAATGGATAGTTATAGATATATTCATGTTTGGCAGTATGAGGATGAATTACCAATATACATCAAATTTGAAGATGTAAACTTTTTGGTGGTTAATTTTCTGCATACCAACGGATGCTTTCTTGATACACATTGGCGAATGGTTTATATTGATATTAAAATTTGTTATTATGGAGGCAGTTGAAGTTAGTAGCTGATAATGTTGGTGTGATTAGTTCATTAGATTTGATTTTCTGCATATCAAGATGATTAGTTTAGTAGCTAAGCAGTTTGTATTAAGGAATTACAATAATCAAGGAACAGCGCAGGGGATTGACTTTTGCGATTAGCAAATACCAATGTGCTGGAATGCTGATATATGTGGATGTGTATGATTTAACTTGCGAGTTATGACGTGCTGACAACCAACAAAATGTTTCGAGAATTTGTCATAACTAGTTTTCCGATGGTGCATTTGACATATTCCGTGGTTTTCATTAAAAGTTGTATTGCATGTTTTGTCCGATCCATTGATACTACCTGTCAGGTATTAAGACTCTTTATCTGTCACTTGTTCCGAAAGTGCTGAGATGAGAAAGGCTCTGCTTTAAAAACTTCATGAAGATATTCATATCTCCATTCATGATTGGTAACTGCTGAACTGTGTTACTCTTATTGTCCTGTGATTTGTTTTATTCATTTGCTTCCATATGTAGGGATCGACTTCCATAACTTGCAAGTTATGACGTGCTGACAACCTCTAACAAAATGTTTCGAGAATTTGTCATAACTAGTTTTCCGATGGATGCATTTGACATATTCAGTGGTTTTCATTAAAGTTGTGTTGTATGTTTTGTCCGATCCATTTATACTACCTGTCAGGTATTAAGACTCTTACCCGTCACTGCTTCTGAAAGTGCTGAGATGATATTCATATCTCCATTCATGATTGGTAACTGCTGAACTGTGTTACTGTTATTGTCCTGTGATTTGTTTTATTCATTTGCTGCCATATGTAGGGATTGACTTCCATCATACTGGAATTGACTGTTATATGTAGGATCGACTTCCATTCATACTGAAATTACGGTGGCTGGGCATGCATTGATTCAAAAAGAAGATGTATCTAAATCTGTGGCAGTTTCTCTATTCATCAAAGAGCTTATTTCTGATTGTCTCACCATCCTCAGAATATTGTGTTGTATGTTTTGTCCGATCCATTTATACTACCTGTCAGGTATTAAGACTCTTACCCGTCACTGCTTCTGAAAGTGCTGAGATGAGAAAGGCTCTGCATTAAAAACTTCATGAAGATATTCATATCTCCATTCATGATTGGTAACTGCTGAACTGTGTTACTCTTATTGTCCTGTGATTTGTTTTATTCATTTGCTTCCATATGTAGGGATTGACTTCCATCATACTGGAATTGACTGTTATATGTAGGATCGACTTCCATCATACTGAAATTACGGTGGCTGGGCATGCATTGATTCAAAAAGAAGATGTTGTATCTAAATCTGTGGCAGTTTCTCTATTCATCAAAGAGCTTATTTCTGATTGTCTCACCATCCTCAGAATATTGGCCCAACTGCCTAGATCAACCCCAAAGTTCTCTGTGCCTTGCTAAACCCAAAGAACAGCTTTATTTAGTCACCTGTAGGACGTTATAAAAGCCGAAGCATCCATACCCCTGTTGGGTTGCTAGTAGAAAACAAAATATTAGACAAAACTAAACAAGCGTTGATTCGGAATGAGTTAAATATCATATCTCAACAGAAAAAGTGATCTAGATATGTGTTCTGTAAAGCTGTTGATGAAGCCGACTTTCCACCTCCAATTAGACTGCGAGGGTTTGTTTGGGATTGGGTTGGTAGCAGCCTAAGTGCTGTAAAAAAAAGCTATGTCATTAACTTTCAGACATTTGAGTGGCAGAAGATGTCCCGTTTCCATATTTTCTGACTCAACTATTTCTTGAAAGCTGCTTGAGTGTGCTGGACTGTTGCCTTTTTGTATTTTGGCCTTAGAAGAGGGAACACATCAGGTATCTGATGCTCTAATTTGTTATCATGTACTAAAAAATTCTGATGACAAATCTATCCTCTTTTTTACTTTTGTATAGATATGCAGTCCATTCGCTGCTAAAGGGAAAATTGCACTCTCATGGGATAAATATATGAAATTATAAAATTGGAACATCAAGATTCCGTGAGGGTGTTGAATATCAAGCATCTGCATTCATTCAAATTTTTACAATGAGGACGATGACAACAACAACAACCAAAAAGGGAAAAAAAAGAAAAAAAATCAAACCCTAAGGATTAGAAAAAGAAACCTAAAAACGAACAAACATATATACACACAATCACCATTTCCACACTGACATGGAGTGAACCTGAGAGAGAGAGAGAGAGAGAGCTCATCAACTAGACTGGAACCTGCATGGTGAACTTTGAAATCATCTCCTCCAGGGTAAACACTGTCCCCCCTCTCTCTTCAGCATCAATTTGTTCCATGGCCTGCTCCATAAGAACATTCTTTTTTTGTCTACTTCTTGAATTGCGACTGGGGCAATCTCGCAGGAGCTGTAGCAGAGCTCGGGCCATTTCCTTAGCCCTGCGTGTTCCGTCCATGCTCAGCTGAAGCAGTCCCGGAATAGCACCTTCACTCAGAATCAGCCCTCTGTATCTATCTTTACTGCTTTGGCATATGAGAAGCAAAATCCCCACTGCATACTCTTTGCATAGTGGCGAACCCTCTTCAACAGCCTCAACAGATGCCTGAATTGCACCACTCGTGCTAGCAGTCTCTCTTAGTGCAATCTCCGACGAAGAAACAATATTTTCAAGGAGTCCCATTGCCTTCTCAACCAACTCAGACGATTTTTCAAAGCCGTAGATTAGTGGAAGCAAAGAGAACACAGCACGTGACAGAACAATTGATGGGATGATCTGACGGCAAGTTGAGAGGTGGTGAAGTGTGGCTATGATGTCAAGCTTGGCTTGCATGCTTATGTTGTTATCCTCATCAATGTAGCTTCTATTGAGAAATTCAACTAGGACTTGAATGGCCCCAGAAGCTGCAATTGACAGCTTGTTGGCCGTACAGGAGGAGAGTACCAATAGGGCTGCTATTGCAGTGTCCATGAATGCCTCGTTTTGGTGTTGAAGAAGCTTTAACAATGCTGGTATAGCTCCAGATTTTACAATACTCATCTTGTTTCTGTAAAATCAGAGTTAAATGCTTAACAAAATTTTCATAAATCTACTTGATACTTGAAATTAGAAAGTGATCATTACTTAGTGCTTTTAATTATGTTGTTTAGATAGTCAATCGAGTCTAACCACATGTATGCAAATAATTACCTATTACCTACTCTACAATTAGCCAAAAAAAAAAGAAAAAAAAAGGTACTGTTAATCTGTAAAACACAAATAAATATTTTATCTTTTGAGTGATGTTGAAATATGCCCCAGATCAGTGAATGGTTGATACAAAGAAACAATAAACTGAGAAAAATGAGGAATGATTGATACAAAGACGAACCTGTCACTGCCAAAGGCTAGACTAAGCAGAGCAAACAGAGCAGCTTCAATGGCTTCGTAATCTTGTGTATGCAGCATTGAAACCAACGGCGCAATAACGCCTCTTTCGGCAAACTTTTGTCTCTGCTTACTCGTTAGATTATTAAGTGCCCTAGCAGCTGCAACCTGTGCTTCTCTCTCACCAAAAAAAAGAGCTTCCACAACTTCCTCCATGGAAGCCCTCTCTTTCTCTCTCCTCCTTTCTCTCTCTCTCTATATGTGTGTGTGTGAGTGTGCTATATGTAGAATAAGGAGCTCCTATATTTGTATTGCTTGGTGAGGATGTCAGATATGGCTTTTTAGGGGCTCTCCATTGTTTGAGTTAGAAGCAACTTACTATTCTCTGTTTGAGCTTTATACTTCCAATATCCCTTGGTAATACCTTGGATTGAATCTTTTGCTTTCCTTTTCTGGAAGAAACCGCCACAGCTTTTATGGTAACTTAACACATGAGGAGATCCTCTCAGGATATATTACTCATATCCAATTGTATATATACATATCACTACAGTTTTGTATATCACATCACCGTAGTACGTGTAATTATATACTAAATGGATTTTGGCCTCTACAAGATTTGTTTCTTCATGAAAGATAACATTAATCTAAAATAAAGGGTTCTGATTTTTTGTTGTTTATTATTGTTATTTTTAATTGACAATACAGAGGGGCTGAACTTGGTAGTCAAACTCATATTCTTAATTTAACTATTTATGTTTTTAAATTGATGGAAAACATAACTGTGTTTTAAATAAAAATTAAAAGGGAAAAAAAGAAATAACTCCTTATAAAATTTCTATTTGGATAACAATTATCTTTTATAATTAATCATCATCAAAGTTTATTATCGGCGTAACTCAACATACAGAGAATTCAAGGGAGTTTCGGTGTAATCCAGACATAAGACAAGTACCAACGTAAATATCTAAGTATCTACGCAAATATCATTTAACTTCATTATTAGGTTAGCCATATGATTCATCATCATCAAAGTTTATTGCCGGCGTAACCCAATATACAGAGATCGGAGTGCCGGAATGATCAGACAGAAGACTTAACGTAAATATCTAAGTATCCACAAAAAAATATCATTTAATTTCATTATTAGGTTAGCGATATCATTTATTATCATCAAAGTTTATTATCGGAATAACCAAATATACAGAGAACGGGAGTCTTTGAGTAATCAGGCATGACAATTATCAACGTAAATATCTAATTATCCACAAAAATATCCTTTAAACTTCATTATTATGTACCAAAATTTGCTTTAAATTTGCAAATTAACATGACTTCTGTTTCAGTTACCTCACCCATCGGATTCATCATCATCAAAGTGTATTGAGGGTATACAGAGAACCTGAATGTCTGAGTAATCAGATATAAGACAAATACCTGCGTAAATATCTAGTACCCATCAAAATTTGCTTTAAATTTGCAGATTAACGTGACTTCTGTTGGAATTACCTCGTGGTCTGACGCTAGTAGCCAACCTCCCTGTTACCTGTTATATATATATATATATATGAAGGATCACTGAATCAGTGAATATCTACGACGGGCTGTTATACGGTGCCGCCTATCTTGACCAAAAATATTAATACAAGGTCACAACTACCCTTCATAAACTTTCTAAATCCGTATTAACGTGCATTCACCAGCAATTCAAACGATTGGGGTCAGAACTACCGCTCATAAACTTTCTAAATCTATATTAATCTGCATTTTTATCTTTTCTTAAGTTTTGAACTGGTTTTACTCACTCACCCCTGCAGCCTCTCTCTCTCAAAAAAGTTTGTAGCTCATTCTTACAAATGTGATTCCTTATCTATTTATATAACATCTCCCCAGGATTAGGATGCATAACAGGGTTAAAGTATAACTTACGAGTCACCTAAATATATACATATTAACAAATTCTAATTTTTTGGAATCTTCTCCAATCAACTAATTTATACACCCTACAACACTCTTTACTTCCTTATTATTAGTAATTGGGAAAAATAGTATATGTATTGTCCAATCTTTAATGACTAATATATATCTATATATCTATATATATATTTAAAAATATCATATTCCAACATATCCACATTCATATTTTTCATTTTTGTATTTTTATGCTGTTTTCTAATTTTTGGAATCTTCTCCAATCTACTAATTTATACACTCTACAACACTCTTTACTTCCTTATTATTAGTAATTGGGAAAATTAGTATATGTATTGTCCAATCTTTAATGACTAATATATATATTTAAAAATTATATTCCAACATATCCACATTCATATTTTTCATTTTTGTATTTTTATGCTGTTTTTTTTAAAAAAAAAAAATTAAAACAAGAAAAGCAAATTAAATTAGTACGTCTACAAACAAGTATTTTCTCTTTATATTTTTGTAAGCAAGTATTTTGTGCATATTTTACTATTTTTAACCTTTTATATATATATTAGAGTAGGTCTCATGTCGAACTTGTTGAAACGAGAAGATAAAAAAGTGCAACCCGGAGCACTTTTGTTTCCTTATTTGAAAATTTGCTTTTCAAAATTTATAGGGTTAATTATTTCATTGTAATTAAGGAAGTGGGTTTTTATGCCGCTATTTTAGAGTGCTGGCTGATATGGTAGTATAAAAATCTTTGTTTCCTGTATATATGGGTGGAGATTTGTTTGGGTAAGGAGAGAAGAGATTTAGAGGATAAACTATATTAAATTTTGTGTTGTGTTTATTGTGTGATCAATTATGCGATAACGAATAAAAGGTAAATTTGTGTTATTGATAATGTGATAGTGAATGAAAGGAGGATTTAATTTCCCCACAACTAAACAAACATCAAAGTTAGTTAAAGAGAGTTAATATACCTAACAAAATAATGTCATTGACAAATCTCAATGCTTCTTGCTGTTTTATTTATTTATTTATTATTATTGTTTTAAATTTATTCAACAAATCTCCATTCCAATTATTACACTAGGTAAATTTGCAAACACAACTAAATGCACAATGCGTGCCACCAATTCAACTTGGTTCAGACAAACAAAGAAAAAAGTGTTTTACCATTTCTAATCTAAATAACAAACATACATAGCATATAATTAGTTCAACTTGGATTCACAAGAAAATCAAGAAGCCTGCTAATCAATCCTTCTCATTCATAAGTGGGCAAATATTATTACAATTTGAAATCTGTCGACTATGAAGACCATCCTTAGATCACTCTAATTTTTAAAGTTTGATGAGGCTACTTTCCAAGTTGAGTAGCTTTGGCAACATGTCATCGGAATTCCTTTGGCTTCCCCTACTTTTTATCTGTAAAATAAGAATCTGGTATCTTCAATCAGTATCACGATTCAATCTTCGAGCTGAGATTTGAGTGTTACATCTTCTATTGAAAAAGAAACAGAACCCTTTACATCTATGTATGTCGTCACAACTAAAATAAACTGATATCTCACCAGTAGTCTGCACAAGAACAAACTCCATCCTCAAAATGGTGAAAGCGATGCATGTCCCTTACAATGATTACTCGATTCACAATCTTTGAGATGTACTTATGGCGTTGTGACAGTCACCACAAATCCTTAGATTCTTTGTGATTCGAATAGTAGTCCCCGGACTAGTATTGATGATTCCAAATGCAATGGCCAGCCTCTCAAAGTGATAGGCAAGTGCCACTTCTTTTGCTTCATCTTCAATATCATGAAGCACAAAGTCTGTCAAGGGGACATAACCCAAGTGTCTCATTGGAGCAGCCAACTCATCAAGAAGAGAGTAAAGCTACTCTGACTGAGGATTTGACCTGTCTCCTACTCCAAATTTATGAACCAGATTATCAAACTCTATCAAACTAAATCCCTGAAATTTATTGGAGCCTCTCTGAGCCATCATCTTCCTGATCTTCTCAACTTCATTCCATCATCTTCCTGATTTAGTAGCATAGATGTTAGAAAGTAGAACATGATAGCCAGCATGAAAGGGGTCCAGCTGAAAAATGCGATCTGCAATCCTCTCTGCTAAATCTAGATTCCCATAAATTCGGCAAGCACCAAGCAAAGATCCCCATATACTAGCATCAGGTTCTACTGGCATAGTTTCTATGAGTTCTTGTTCTTCTGAAAGTTGTCCTGCGCGGCCAAGAAGATCCACCATGCATGTATAGTTACTTAGTTTTGGTGTAACTCCAAATTCCTCTCTCATCAAGTGAAAATACCTCTTGCCTTCTTCTAATAACCTCGAATGGCTGCAAGCTGAGAGAATACAATTGAATGTTATATGTTTTGGCCTTACCCCATCTTTCACCATTTGATTGAAAAGATCAATTGCCTGCCTGCCATGACCATGAATTCCATAGCTTGCAATCATCTCACTCCAGCAAACAACATCTTTTCCTTGTGTTTCATCAAATGAAGTACGCGCCAAACCCAAATTCCCACAGTTTCCATAAATATCCATATTAGAAGTTGCAACCAAGATATCGGACTCAAAACCAGTTTTAATTACATAATTATGCAACCATTGTCCTTTCCTCAGAGCTCCTAGATTACGACATGCTAAAAGAACACCCAGAATACTTACCCTATTGGGTTTTACTCCCGAACCATGCATGAGATCAAAGAACTCCAACGTCTCTGTACTATAACCATTGTGAGCATACCCTGAAAGCATTGATGTCCAAGAAACCAAATCTCTGACTGCCATTTTATCGAACACAAGCCGGGCAGCTTCTATGTCACCACATTTTGCATACATATCAACCAAAGCAGCCTCAACGAAAAGGTCATTACTACACCCACAACACACTAAATGCTGGTGAATGAGTTTACCCATCTGCATATCAGATAATCCTGCATAAGATTTTAGTGCAAAAGGAAAAGCAAATTTGTCTGGTCTTCGACCATTTTCCATCATCATTCTGTACAGTTCTAATGATCTGCAAAATCGGCCTTCATTGGCATATGCCCTTATCATAATATTCCAAAAATAGTTACATGGATTTGGCATACATTCAAATAAAATACTGGCAATATCAATGCGGTTAAATGAAATGTACAAAATGGCCACTTTGGTTTGTAAATGTGTGTCATGTTGGAGACCAAAAGAAAAGGTCTTGGCATGGGCTCTCTTGAGACAACCGAGGCTAGTGCATTTTTGCAAGAAGGAATAGATGGAGAAAGCAATTTCATGGATGGGTTTGTTGGAGATATATTCCAGCGAATTTGGAGAGGGAGTTATGGAGGTGCAGAGGTAGTTGAAGTTTGAAAAGCGGTTATGAAGTGCAAGGCCTGTGTTGAAGGGTAAAATAGGATTTAAGAGGGCTCTCATTCAAATATACCTACATATAACTTTGGGATCACTTGTGAGAAATATAAGATGGAAATGAGATATATGTTTCTGCTGCTTCTTTTGAGATAATTAAAGTTCTAATTTTTGCTGCATCATCCCATTTTCCGTCAACAGCATAAATGTTTGATAACAGACTGTAATATCCTGCATGATTAGGATGTAACTGAAAAAGCTTACTTGCAGCTAGCTCTCCCATTTTGACGTTCTGGTGAATCTAAATGCGCCAAGCAGAGCTCCCCAAACATGGGGCCCAGCTGGTACTGGCATCTGTTCAATAATGCTCATGGCTTTATCCAGCTCTCCAGTGTGGCCTAGCAGATCAACAACCATAATCCCATAATGCTTTGAATCTGGACTCAGTTGATATTCATGCACCATCAGATCAAATAACTCAATCCCTTCACTAACCAAACCTGCATGGCTACAAGCAGATAAAACAGAAAGGAATTTAACATTTTTAGGCCTAACTGCTGAAATATTGACCATGCGATCAAACAATTGCAGTGCTTCCTCTCCTCCCCATAAATTCCATAACCTGCAATCATTGAGCTCCAAATGACAGTATCTCTATCAGAAGTTCTTTCAAAAACCTTGACAGCATCAACTAACCTACCACATTTAGAGTATAGTTCTATGAGTGAAGCCCCGATGAAGGCATTATTGTAGTTGAAGCCACACGTAACCATGTAACCAAGAAGGTAAAAAGCTTGCTGAAGAATTCCTAATTCTGAACAAGCGGTGAGAATCTTTGTCATAGCAATAGAGTAGGGTTGAATTTCATTGGATAGCATTTCCCCGAATAATCCCATTGCCATGTATGCCATTCCATTTTGAACATATCCACCTAACAAAGCAATCCAAGAAACTACATCTTTCCTGGGCATCCGATTGAAGAGATCACTGGCTCCTTTAGGGGCAGAGCACTTCATGTACATTTTAATTAAAGCTGTAGAAACCAATACATCCATCTCAAACCCTTTCTGAGCAGCAAGTTCATGGATCTTCTTACCTTCTTCTAAGTTACAAGTCAATTCACATGCTCTTAGAACATTAATAGTTGTAACTGAATTGAGTTCAAATCCTAAATCAATCATCTCGTTGAAAATTTCTATTGCTTCAGTGGCAGCCCCATTATGAGCAGAACAAGCAATCATAGAACTCCACGAAATCACATCTTTCTCCCCATTTTCTTAAATAAATTAGTTGCAGCATTAACAGAACCCGTCTTTGTATAAAATTTAACAAAGCATTAACCAAAGACAAACCAGTACCAAACCCCCTCCCAATCGAAAATCCATGGACACTACTTCCAGCCTTTCTATCCAATAGTTGAGTGCAAGCGGAAACAACACTAACAAGTATTACTGGGTCGGGACTAATGCGCTCAACCATCACCATTCTGGTGAAAAATGCAAGCGCTTATTCAGGATCACCATTCTGCTCATACCCACTAACCATTGTCGCCCACAAAACAATGTCCGGCCTAGAAAACTCAAAATCTTCGAAAACATGCCAAGCATCGTCCATCAGTTTACATTTGGTAAACAATTCAATCAGAGCCGACCCAACAAACATGGTTGAATCAATCGTGTAATTCTTATTGACAAACCCATGAATCATGTTGCCAAACTCAAGCCCCTTAAACCCAACACACGCCTTGACAGCAATGGGTATAGTAAAATTGTAGGGTTTTTCAGCAGATACCATATTAGAAAAGAGAATCATAGTTTCTGCTCTTGAGTATGGAGTTTCAGATATGTACAGTGCGGTGAGGCGTTTCATCGAACAACTTGCATGCACTACCGAGAGGTGTGTACTTGCAGTAGCCTCGTTGAGTTTGGTGGCAATGGAAGTGTTTTGGATGAGGCCTTGACGATTTGAGAATGCAATTGGGGGAATGATTTGCCATTTCTACATGCCTCAAATAAATTCGTAAAAAGTTCCCTCTTTTTCATATAGAAAGCTCCAAAGCACACTCACGCTGACCAAATCTATAACCCTTTATGTGTCTTGATAACTCACGTGGGCTACGACAAAGAGGATTGCTGTGGGGTCATCCATGTCAGCTTTTGGGTCCATCTAAATTGGTGACATGGCAGTTCCATTTGTGCTGATGTGGATGGTTCTTGTCACATTTATGAATCAAGTGACCGACTGCAGCAAGAAAGTACAAAGATGACGCAATTCGCAGTTGGTAACCATATTAGCAACCGATTTTCTTTTTACAAAGCTGCCCTTAAGCCATGCTACATTGCTACCCTATTATTATTATTATTATTATTAGGGTAAAGTACAAAAAACTCCCTTCAACTATTGGCCATATGCAACTAACCCCACTGATCTACTAATTTGACATATAACCCCCTTGAACTAATCAATTTGGTGCAATTAACCCCCTCCGGTGATAAGCCGGTTGACTTTGGCCGTGAAGACGCACGTGATGGGTCACGTGACAAACCAAATTTCTTTAAATGACCATACAACCCTTTACCTTTATACCCAAAACCACTTAAAACACTCAAACACGCCCTTATACTAAATATACACTGTTCATCGTCAATAAAACAGACGATACCATCACCACCGTCCCGTCCGTCCCCACAACTACACCTTCGAGGATGAAGATGGCCGGCGAGACAGATTCGGCTGTGAGGATGGAAATGACCGGCGAGATAGATCTGGGTCTTGGACTTGGATTTGCAGCGCGGCAAGCTTGAGGATGTTGATGGCAGTGAAAAGCCGGTGAGAACAGATCCGGCTATGGTGGATCGAGCTCGCGCGGATCTGGAGGAGACAAGAAAAGAGCTGTGAGAATAGATCTGGCGGCTGTGTGATGAGCTCTTGGTCGGCGCGGAGCCGATGAAGGCAGGTCGTGTAGACGGATGACTCTTGGCTGTGAGGTGCACAAGCTTGGACTCCGATAACCGCAAATATCACAACTCAGAATTCGCTTCAGAGGATAAGGGTTTATTTTCCTCAATTTATTCGCACTCTCTCTCTCCTCTCCTCTTTCTCTCTCTATATCGTTTCTGTAATTCTATATACATATATATGCACAAACTGATGGTCGTATAATTCTGTTTGTCTCTGTTTGTATGCTTTGGTCGATCGGGAGGAATAGTGATTCCTCCGATGGGGGGCTGGACGGCGATGGTGACTCTGGCGAGGAATGGACCGGCAGTGAAGTGGCGGCAGCGGCGAAATGCAGCGGTGAGATCGGCGGGCTGGATCAGCGGTGGCTCGGCCGTGGATAACTCGGCGGCGCTCAGATGAAGCGACGGCTGCAGGGATAAAGCTCGGATGATGGAGAGGACCGATGAGCAAGGTGGGCTGAACGGCGATGGGCTGGTTCGGCCATGGTTGACTCGCGGCGATGGGCTGGTTGCGGCTGAACGGCGATGAGCTGGTTGCGACTTCGGCTGTGAGCTTGCGGATGAAGAGACGGCAATGGGGACGAGCTTGAATGGTGGGCTGAACGGTGATGGGCTGGTTCGGCCATGGTTGACTCACGGTGATGGCCTGATTTTTTTTTTTTTTTTTTTTTTTTTTTCAGAATTTATTTTTTTAGCTGGTGGTTGCTAAATGTTTTTGAAACGACGTGGCTTTATACATGGGTAAAATTGTCTTTTACTATTTTCGTTTACACCAATTGGCCGGAGATGTCACATTGGGGGTCAATTGCACCAAATTCAATAGTTTAAGGGGGCAAATTGTAGTTCAGGGGGGTTAATTGCATATGGCCAATAGTTGAAGGGGGGTTTTTTGCACTTTACCCTTATTATTATTATTATTTTACATTTTAAGCATATAATTTATTAAATTATACGAAATGACCCTATAATTTATTTATTTATTTCAAAAAATCCTTCTAATTCTTTATTTTTTCCCTTCTTACTCTTCTTCCATTTTTTTTTTTTTTTTTAAAAGAAAATTGCATTTCCTTTCTTCAAACAAATCCCAATTTTTCTTTTCTTTCAAAAGTTTTTCCATATTTTTTCTTTTATTAAAAAATAATTATTTTATAGTGCGTTCGTGACCATGGAGTGAAAGATAAAAGTAATGTGAAGCCAGAAGTGAATAGATATCAGCCCCAATAATATTTGAACACGTTAAGAAAAATATTATCCTTCCAATACCGTCACATCATTTTAAAACACATTAAGAATATTTTATTTTATTTTTAAGATAAACTGGATTAAACTACCTAAAGTATGAACTGATTGCAATAAATCCCCTGAAGTAAGTAAAAACCTTCAAACTATCATTTTGTTGCAAACCGTTATGTAACCGTGAAGTTGCCGTTGACTAAAAATGAAATTACAATTTAGCCCTCTCCCCGTTGTTCGTTCTTTGGGGTTTTGTGAGACAATAGCGTCCTTCAACAAACATCAGTGAGATTGGGCAACCTTTAAGATACCCAATTCCGGCGAGCTTACATACGAACAGAGAGCTTCGCAAACTGTATGCTTCATTGGCAACGGCGACCAAACCTAAGAACTCCATACCATCACCAGTGACCAAATTGAAGCTTCAAAGAAAAGACCAAGTAACCCAATAATTTTGAGATTCTCTAATTCGAATGAGATATATATATATATATATATATATATATATATATAAGTAAG